TCTCTGACTTCAAAATCTACTACAAAGCTATAGTAATCAAAATGGCATGGTACTGGTACAAAATCAGGCACACAGATAAATGGAACAGAATTGAAAGCCCAGAAATAAAACCGCACATCTACAGACAGCTAATCTTCAACAAAGGAGCCAAGAACATATAATGGAGAAAGGAAAGTCTCTTCAATAAATGGTGCTGGGAAAACTGGACAGCCACATGCAAAAGAATGAAGGTAGACCATTATCTTTCTCCATACACAAAAATAGATTCAAAATGGACCAAAGACTTGAAGGTAAGACCTGAAACCATAAAACTTCTGGAAGAAAATATAGGTAGTACACTCTTTGACATCAGACTTAAAAGGATCTTTCCCAATACCAAGTCTACTCAGAGAAGGGAAACAAAATAAAAAATAAACAAATGGGACTTCATCAGACTAAAGAACTTCTACATGGCAAAGCAAACCAAGATCAAAATGAAAAAACAACCCGACAAATGGGAGAAAATATTTGCAAATCAGATATCTGATAAAGGGATTAATCTCCATAATATACAAAGGATTCACACAAATGAACTACAAAAAAACAAACAACCCAATCAAAAAGTGGGCAGAGGATATAAGCATTTTTTCCAAAGGAGATATACAGATGGCATGAAAAGATGCTCAACATCACTAATCATCAGGGAATTGCATATCAAAACTATACTTAGATATCACCTTATGCCCGTTAGAATGGCTATAATCACCAAGACAAAAAATAACAAATGTTGGAGAGGGTGTGGAGAAAAGGGAACACTTATCCACTGCTGGTGGGAATGCAAACTGGTGCAGCCACTATGGAAAACAGTATGGAGATTCCTCAGTAAATTAAAAATAGAAATACCATATGACCCAGCTATCCCAGTACTGGGTATTTATTCAAAGAACTTGAAATCAACAACACAAAGAGACTTATGCACCCCTATGTTCATTGCAGCATTATTCACAATACCCAAGACATGGAAGCAACCTAAGTGCCCAATGACTGATGAATGAATAAAGAAGATGTGGTATATATATACAATGGAACACTACTCAGCCATAAAAAAGACACAATCGTCCCATTTGCAACAACACGGATGGAACTTGAGGATATTATGTTAAGTGAAATAAGCGAGACAGAGAAAGACTAACACTGTATGATTTCACTCATATGTCGAATATGAACAAACTTACGGACAAAGAGAACAATTTAGTGGTTACCAGGGGGAAGGGGGATGGGGGCTGGGCACAAGGGGTGAATGGGCATATTTATATGGTGTATGACAAATATTAATATACAACTGAAATTTCACAATGTTATAAGCTATTATGACCACAATAAAAAAATTTTTAGACGTCACAGAGCACCACCTGTGAATCTGCTGTGACATCTCACTACTGGAGCACCTCTGGGCACAGCTTAAGACAAAAGGATTCGGACTATGAACCCTGGACACATTGAAATTAACTGCAGAAAGGTGTTTACAATGACCTAACCCCCTGGCTCCGGAGATCTATGATTAAGTCGGAAAGTCCAGCAGGCCAGAACCTGGTTCCTTCTTCTCAGGCGCTTGAGATAACATCTTCACAAGCATTTTGAAAATTCCGAAGCGCTGTAACATGGTGATTGCAAAATTGGCTGATGAGAGAGCTGTCCACTGGAATGCAAGCTCCAAGAGGCCAGGGAGTTTCGTATCCTCAAAGCCTAGAACAGCGCCTGGGATATGACTGGTCCTTAATAAAGAACTGATGTATGAACGGGTGAAAGAAAAGAGGACCCACGGACATTTTGCACTCTTGGTGTTTTGACTAGAAGTTGTGGGGTTGCCTTGGGTTTCACGCTTTCCTCTGTATTCTCTCAACTCACCAGTGACCTTTCAAATGAAACGTAAGTTGTAGTGCGGTTGGAAATGATGTGCATGAAAGTGCCTAGTACACAGAGGTGCTGAGGAGATGGTTAATTTAACTTCTTACAGGGAAGCAAAGTAGAGTGGCGACAAGAACATAAGGTTCAGAGGAGGCTGAATCTGGATTGGAATTGACCATACCATCACCAGATTTGTCTGGGTCTCAGTTTGTTCACATGTGGTATGGGGGTACATATCTTTGTATACAGGGTTGTTGTAAGGATTGAATGAGAAAATGTATGTAAAGTACTTAATATAATGCCTGGGACAAGGAAACACAAGTGGGAGCCATTATGCTAATAGGTAATTTCTATTTTACTTGGCTCATCTCATTCCTCTGAAGATAAATTTCAGGACATATGAATAGACTATACATTATACATACCAGGTACTTGCTACCCCAGGACATTTGCATTGGCCTGGAATGTGTTTCCAATAGACGCCCACTTCCTTCCAGTGAGTCTGCTCAAATTCACCTCTCAATGAGGCCAACACAGAACCCCCCTATTTATAATTGCACACCTCTGTCCCCTTACCCTACTCAGTTTTTTTCCCTAATACCTATTGCCTTTTAACATAGTACTACTTTCTATGTCATTTATTTTCCTTCCACCCTCACAAGAATATAAACTTTAGGAGGGCAGAGATTTCTGTCTGTTTTGTTCCCCAAGACCTCAGTGTCTAGATCAGTGCCTGACACAGGATAGGTACTCAATAAATATTTGTAAAATTGACTTGGTTTGATTTGAGTATATTCCCACCGAATTCTATACTTTTTAGTTTGGGCCCATTACTTAGTTTGTCAGCATGATTTTGAGAAATGATTACCTGCTTTCCTCGTGCGTCTTTACGTGTGGCCTACCACCGACATTTAAAGATGCAACCAACCGCAGCCGGGAGACTCTGGGCTCCCAGCCTAGTTCAGTTACTGGTGTGTGGACCTTGGCAATGTACTTAGCCTTTCTGCATCTTGGTTGCATCACCTATAAATGGAGATAAAAACTCTCTCTACCCTATAAAAGTCTCATGAGGATTCAATGAGTTAACACACATGAAGTGCCTACAACAGTGCCTGGCTCCCATTCCATAAATATTAGCTACTGTGATTCCATTTACAGCCATATCCAGGACCCACTCCCCTTTGGTCCTGCTCTGCAGCTCTACCCTCCCCTGCTCAAGGGTTCATCCTCTCCTGACCCACCCCTTCTTTCCTCTCTCACCTGTGACCCACTAGATGGGAAACTGATGAGCTCTCCTGAGCTTCAACTCTCCTCTTTCCTCCACTAGTTTGTCTTAAGCATTTGCCATTAGGCCCAAACTGCTTTTAGAACTCCGGGTGACTCCCTGGCTAACCTGTGCCTGGACTAAAGCTTCCTTGTTTTAACAACGTGCTTCTAAGAAAAATCCCTATGGGAACAAGAGGGAACATTTTCTCACAAGTTGCTTTATTTGACCTTAATCCAGAACAATTTTAATACAGTCATTTATCACCAATAACTTACCCCATTTCATTTAGGTTTTTTTTTGAAATGGCCTCAACATCTTGGATTGTAGTATTTTAAAGAGAAAATAATTTCAAGTCTTCTAAAACAATTTTTCTTTGTCTTGAAACTAATTTAGAAAATCCCTCATATGTACATGCTCTCTGAACCTCACCCTGAGGCTGGAGGAGAAAGTGTCCTCTCTCTGGGAAGAGCTGGGCTAAGCTAACTTGGGGTGGGAAGTCGGCCGGACCTCAGGCCACCAGTCTCAGGACAAGGAGGCTGCCAGAGAACTTGGCTAAAGGTGGGGAGGTAAAAGGTCCAAAGGATTGAATTTCCGGCTCCCGAAATAACCCGAGTACTCCTGGCACCTCCAAATCAGGCCCTGCAGGCTCCTGGATGCTGGCAGAGTGCCACTGTCTGCCCCGGTCCCAGGAGGCCCTGTGAAGCCATGGATGGCCCTCTGTCTCCACAAGACAGGCCCCAGAGACGCTGGGGAGCCCCCTGAACTAAAGGTGGACAAGCAAGGTACATTTGCTCTGCTTACACTCTCATTCTGCTCTCTCTTTAATGTCCTCTTTTTCTTCTGTCTTCTCCTCCACCTCTCTCTAGGCTCCTGGAAGGCGTCAGGACAGTCTTTTCCAGAATCTATGAGAACCACTGTCACTATATCTTTCCCCCGCCAAGTCCAAACCCCGCCTGTACTATTTCTTTAAATTAGCTCACTTTCTCACCTCAATTTTTGAAGGCTAACTACTAAATTTAAAGCCAGTTTCACTTGCCATAAACAGAAGGCTCACCCAGAAATATAATTAAAAGTATATAGTAATAGAGTTTTAATTGGATATGACAGCTTGCTGCAGGCCTGTGCCTGAGTCCTGCTGTTAGGTTAAGGATGCTGGAGAACTGTTAAAGACATACCAGCACCGACGTGAGACTTGCTCCTTGAAATAGAAACTGGAAAGAGGACCAAAAAAAGAGCTACTTTCTTATCTTATTTTTGAATACAATGTCTACGTATAACCTAAGCATTTCCCACTTTGGGAAAAGGTGCTTTGAGTTTTAGACTCACAAAAGGCAAGGAAGTTTGTTGAAATCTGATAGGCCTCATCCCATTTCCTTCAAGCAGTGAGTATACTATTTACTAACTGTACTCAAAATCTTTTGGCACAGTGTTTTCTCATTATGTGTGCACAGCTTGTGACCAACTACCACAGAGCGGTTCGGATATAGGACTCTTCTGTGGATCACAAGGTGTGGCCGGTGAATGGGCCTTTGAACGCCATCTAACCCAAATCTTGACCTATCTCCATTTTCCCGATAAGAGAAAGGGTTCGAGGCCGAGGGCGGTTTGCCCAAGGTCGCACAGAGGGTGTCTAATTTTTGCGTTCCTGCCGGCCGGAGAACAAGCTATCTCCTTCCTCCGGAGGCTTCAGGGAGGGGGGGGCCTGGTTGGCGCCAGGCCAAACCTCTCGCCTCCAGTGTTGACCGCGGTTGCCATGGCAGCGGCGCACTGTTCCCGCCTGTCTTGGTGACGTCAGTGGGCCAGCGCCCAATGGGAAAGCAGCGCGGCGCACGCTCCCCCCTCTCCCGGCGGGCCCGACCTTCGCGGCGGGCAGAGGTGTCGGCGGCGCGGTGAGGCGGCTCCGGTGGCGGCCAAGGCGGGTGCCATCGTCTTGCGGGCCGTCCGCGTCCGCCGCCGCCGGAGACAGAGCCAGGATGTTCGGGATGCTGAGCAGCAGCTTTGAGGATGACCCCTTCTTCTCGTGAGTGCGGGGCCGGGAGCCGCGGCGGCGGGAGTTTGGGGTCTCGAGCCGAGCTCCCGTGAGGGAGGGCAGCGAGTGAAAACTGCCGCGGGCGCGAGGGCCTCGGGGGCTCCGGGAGGCGGTGTGCGGGAGAGGAGGACCGCGGGCGAGGGCGGCAGGGAGGAGAGGACCTGGGGGGGAGGGGGGGGGCAGGGGACGGGGGCGTGGGAAGGAGGGGAGAGCAGGATTTGGGGGCCACTATGCGGGCCGCTCTCAGCTTGCGGGACTTCGGATGCGCGGTTGCTTCCCGCGTGGGGAGTCGCGCCTCGCCGCTGCAGAGCTGCAGGTGGCGGTCACTGCCCTCTGGGTGGAACTTCTGGTGAGAATGCGCCTATTTCCGCACCTGTTTCAATTCCAAATGAGGGGCCGGGATTATTTCACAAGATGACAGTTCTTTGAAAAGGGAAAGGTTTTAAAACAACATTTTTCGTAAAATAAGCGTTCTGACAGCACAGCGAAGTTGGAGAGTTGTGCTGTCCCTCACCTCGAAGTGGCTGGAAGCTGCCAGATGCACTGTTTGCTTGCTGTGTCACAAAGCTAATCTGATGCCTTAGCAAGACGGCATCCAGAAGTTAATTAGTTGTTTCATTGTGATCTAGTTTTCTGGTTTTGCTTGTTTAGTTCTTCCTTTGGCGGTTATAGAAAATAACAACACAATCTAGTTGGATCCCTAAGACAGGACGATTTGTGATCCTCCTTTGCCCAAGTGTTTTGTCAATTTGAATTTTGACTTGATGTCCTAATTTATTATGATCATTTAAATTCTCTATCTATGCAACTTGGGGACCATTTTTTAAAAAGGTTAAAATGTTAACAGTATACTACATAGATTTTTTTGTTTTTAAAGGAAAATATTATATTGGCTTGTGTGTTAGTATTATTTTAAAACCAAATAACATAAAAGTGATAATTGAAAGGATAATTAACAGTAGAAAAGATGAAATGAGTAATATCGAAAAAATAAAATGATTAGCTTTTTATTCTAAAGGTTATTCATTGTAAATAAGGGATATATAGACTCAGGCAAATTTATTATGCTGTTTTAGTTAACTTCTTTAGGAGCTGTTGGGGCATTTAAGATCAGTGTCATTTTAACAAATTGTAAATTTTGTATTATCATTTGATCTTTTAAAAGCCTTTGAGAGTAGGGACTAAATATGTCCATAGGTTCTTATGTAATTGTGACATCAGTACAATGGTTAACGGTTAAGTTTATGATAGACAACTTTTAAGTTGTAGTATGTTCTTGATTATTTCGAAAGAGCAATGGCCTTAGCTAAACCGTGAATGTATATTTAGTACCTTCTTTAAAACGTCTTACAAAAGTGTAATTTAAACTCTTGGGTGACTGAGCAAAGGCGATGAACCCAAGAGTCAGGTCAGAAATAGTAACACCACAAATAGTAGGCCTACATCAAAGAACACTGCCCCTGTGCTTAGGATGGAAAGGACCGTCAGCTCCGCTCAGTAGGCCTCTCAGTCATCGCTCTCTGTAGCCTTCTTCAAATGCAGGCAGCCGCATTATTAAAGTTGAGGATGTAATTAACTTTATAAAACAGATTCATGCTTATTTATTTGCTCCACAATTAACTATATAGAGAGAGTAAGCATACTTTGGTGAGGTAAGGGAGAAAGAGAATGTGAGTTTATACTTATTTCAAGTAATCTGTCTTTTCACCTACCCCTTTAGCCCAATCCCAAACAAAATGAGTATCGATTATTTAATATAAGTCAAACGTAAGGAATTGATAAAGGTGACAGACTACTTATTAAATCATCCAGTAACCTTGAGGAACACAGAAGGGTTCCATGACCACCATCTTTTATATAAGTATTATCCCTATTGCTAACATTATGTGTTTGGTTGTTGGGTTCCCTAGTAGTGGCTAGTTTAGTGTCTGACATGTAGAAAGTGTTCAGTAAATATTGCTTAATGATAATCTGGTAACCTTTACTCTCTGTCTAGTAGTTAATTTGGTATTTAGTTGATTGCTATAAGTAGTTATTTGTATTCAGCAGATGCCATTGTTGATGTTGGCATTTTCCAGTTTGAGCACTACCATTTTCTAAATAATCCATTAGTTCAAAATCAGGGATATCAATATAAGCGCACACTGCTGATTTACTAATTATTGAAAAGCAGGCAGAGAAAAAATACATAGTTCCTGGATGCACAATTAGAATTATCAAACTGGTAAAATACCGTGGTCAAGTTGTCAAATGCTTGAAAGATCTGAGTAAAAAACCAATTAAAATCGGTGGTTTTGAATTCAGATATTTCATTTTCAGTGTTTACCTTCCCATAATAGCACATGTTAAATGTTTCATCAGAAAATTAAAGGGAAACTTTAAAAATGATATTTTAAAGTTTGGTGTTTTATTACGTATTTGGGACTTTAAAAAAATTTTGGTATCATCTTATGTTTTAGAGCTGAAGATATTTCAGTGAAAATTGCCTTACAGTGTGCCTTCATGTGTATGTTCTTAAGTAAATAACACTTGTAATTTGGGTAGAAACACAAGACTAAAAGCTAGCACTTCCTGGCATGCTGTTTCCTCTCAAGAATATTATTTTTTCTTCCAATTTTTATTTGCTTAAGAAGAAATAGAAATATGTATGTATGGACAGGAAAATTTGAAGTTAAAATGGTTTTGGCATCTATCCTATACCCTAAAATAATTGATTATTTAGTATAAAAGTTTATATATATCTAGTACAATCTAGAAATTTCTTTGTGCAGAAATGTGAACTTTGAATCTTCTGAGCTACAGAAATGAAATTCTGATCATGCAAATCTACAGAGAATAGCTGTGTTACCATTTATCCGCTGTTAGATGTTAAAGTCTCAGTGGCAGGTTGACAAATCTATCAGCCTTCTTTTTAATCATCAATTGTTAGCATTTCCTTAAGCCACCCAACGCTTCATATGGGCACCATATGTGTGATGATCAGTCTTAGGTCCAAGAACCCCTCCATATATTCACAGCTGGCTTCTTTTCCCATCTCCTTACTCTTAGCAGGAGCTAAAACTTACATATCTATAATCTCTATTTTTAAATTTTTAAAAAATTAATTATTTTGGGGGCTGGCCCGGTGGCACAGCGGTTGGGTTCACACTTTCTGCTTTGGCAGCCCCGGGTTCACCAGTTCAGATACCAGGTGCGGACATGGCACCGCTTGGCAAGCCATGCTGTGGCAGGCGTCCCACATATAAAGTAGAGGAAGGTGGGTATGAATGTTAGCTCAGGGCCAGTCTTCCTCAGCAAAAACAGGAGTTTTGGTGGCAGATGTTAGCTCAGGGCTAATCTTGCTCAAAAAAAACAGTTTGTTTTGCACTTTGGAGGTGATTGGAGGACACTGCTTTGACCTGTTCACTGAGTTGAAAGTGAATGTGTTCCATGTTACAAGACAGGCATTGACTGATATTTTCTTGATTGAGAATATTGTTGTGGGAGGAAATAAAACAAAGTCACCTTCTATATAAGTTTTTGTGAACAATGAATGTTGAAAGTTACTTACATATTTGTTTCCAGACATATAGTCTGAGGTAGGGTCTTCATGAAGATGATGTAGTTTGGTGCTAATGTCTTCTGCCACATGAACCTCTAATTCTAATTATTTAATAAAGATAGCCTGAGCATGCTCAGCTAAAATTTAAGCTTTTGATTTTCAAGATCCTATTCTATGTTGACTTTGACAGTTACTGTGATTTTTTAGCGCCTAAAAATTTCTGTTCTCAGAAACATTTTAATACAGATATTTCTTAGAAATGAACTTTGCAGATTTTAAGATCAAATTTGATATGATGAGGCACTATAAGCCTTGAACTGAAAGAATTTCTAAGGTAAACTATTTGTTTGGGGCATTCTTTGGTTCATTAGGTACAAACCATTTAGTTAGGAGCCAAGGAGCACAACACGATTGTGACATAGCTGCTGAGTGAAGGAATGCCATTTGGTAGCATCTGATCATATCATACAATGTTCTATCAATGAACATTCTAAGTATCCACCCAAAGGTAGAAGAGTATTTATAGATGAGAGGGGGCCATAGTCATTCCTACAATTCTTAATATCAAAGGTTTCTGCCACACCACCATTTTAAACTGTGCTTCTAAACAGTAGGAAAATAGAATTGGCTATGGAAATGTAATTCATTCTTCAAGTGTTTCTTAGGTTTCTACTCTATGCCCAGCCTTGTGGACTCTATTATAAATTTGTAGAAGTCATGGCCCATGCCCTTAAGATTCTCCTGTGAATATTATGTGCATTATTTCTAATGTCAAAACTTGGATCACCTTTTAGGGACCTGTATACCTCATTGAAACTAGGGGACACTTTTTTGTGATCAAGAGAGCCATAATAATCTGCTGGCTAAGCTTTTGCCACTGCTATGTGTGCTGGAAGGAAGGAATTTTCCTTGATGAATGGGATTGCCATGTCAATTACTCGAGACCCTTATGTAATAAAGAATAATGTAATACTTTTTACTTAGAAGCACAAATATCTATATTCTTGTACAGGCCAAATAAAATTGTAACTCTGGCAAAAAAAAAAAAAGTTTATGTTGGAGAGAGTCTTAAAAACAGGAACTTATTCTGAAGTGAAACATTATCAGCCCTTTAAAAAAAACTTTTATGTTGAAATTATTCCCAAGAGACCCAGAATCAATCTGAGTTAAAATTTTTTGTACGGGGATAGGGCACCACTTTATTTTTCCTAGCTTGTGATAGGTTAATAATATGGAATAGCAAAAGTGCATTGGTGCCAAATATCATTTTGTTTGGTTGTGGTTTGTGTCAGCAGTCCTTAAAGAGGTAGTATGGCCATTGTAAAAGTATAAGTAAGTTTTTCCAGATTTCAATGAAAAGGCATCCTTATGGAAAATCCAAAAAGTATGGAAAGTTTGGTGAAGGAAGTCATGCAACTGAAGATTTTAGCTACTATCATTTTGATGTATT